CAGAATGAGAAATAAGCAACCAAAACTTCCCAGGCTTCGAAGAACATTATCCTCCATAGTACAAGTTAATTAGGGGGAGGACGTGTACCTACAGTCATCCCCTTACCATAGGAACAATACTTAATGTCTTCAGTGTAATGTTTTTCTTTTCAGGGTGAAGTGGATACCTGCCAAGGTATGCCAAGAACCAAACACCCCATGCACAGCTTAGTACAAGAGGTTTAGTTGGGGAGAGTGAAAGAGTGAAAGGCCCTCTTGGAGTGAGGACATGAAACAGAACAGGGAAGAGAAGCAAGAGAAGCAAGAGGGAGCTGTGCCTGGTGGACACTTTTAAGGGGTGCACATATCGCATAGCTGACTGTAGAAATGTCCCTGGTGACAGGTGATAACATAACTGCCTCGGCAGCTGAGGCAGGCTGCTGCCACTGGTAACTGACTTTGGGTATGTGCTAACCTCACACTGTGCTGCTAATGGTGCAGCAAATACATCTAAGCCTTGTCAAGGTAGATTGCTCAGCAGAAGTGTTTGACCTGAATCTGTCCACAAGAGATAGATAAATCCAGTGAGCAACAATCTATGAGACAGCCAGAATAGACTCTTAAAAATTAATAGTGACACCAAGGCCAGAGGCAGAAGACTGCTCAAGATGAAAGTTTAGGAGTCTAGACACTTTGAGATGTGCTGTGCTGGAGAGAATAAGAATAATTGAAGACTATTTCAAACTCCTAACTAATAAAATTCAAAGGTAGCCGTGCTAGAGATTATATCAACATTAAATTTCTAGGTGTATTATGAGGTGTTGAGTTTATGTAAGGAAATGTCTTAGGAGATGCAAGCTGAAGTATTGAGAGATGTTGTGATATGATGTCTACAAATTACTTAAAAATAGCTCCGTACTGTCCCCAGAAGTAAACATACATGGCGGGGGGGGGGGGGGGGAGCATATGTGGCAAAAAGTTAACTGGTGAATCTAAGTGAGGCTTATTCAGATAATGGCAATGCTGTGTCTGTCACTTTGACATTTTCAAACTGGAAAGTTGAAATCTTAAACTGATTTCCCGTGGCTTTTCAAATTGTCATCATATAGTTATAAAAACAAGCAGTGGGATGGGGATGGAGGGCAACAACCAAAAACCACTGACTAACATTGCTCCCATTTCTTTCTTCCAAGAACCTACCAAGCCCAACCCTGCTTAGCATCTAAGATCAGAGGAGGTCAGGGAAGTATAACTGTAGACTGGTGCCCATTTCTGTCATTATCATTATAAATGCTGTGCCAGAAAGCCTTTGGTTGGTTGGTTGGTTGGTTAGTTGGTTGGTTGGTTGGTTGGTTGGTTGGTTGGTTGGTTGGTTGGATGGCTAGTTGGTTGGTTGGTTTGTTTGTTTGTTTTGTTTTCTTTTTGAGATGGGATCTCACTATGTAGCCTTAGCTGAACCAAAACTCACTGTGTAGACCAGGCTAGCTTTGAGCTCATGGAGACCTGCTTCCCTCTGCCTCTGAGTACTGAGATGTAAGGCATGTACCTCCATTCCTGGCCTGGAAGCCTTCTGATCTCAGGGGGGAAGGGGCATTAACTGTCTCTTAGAGTGTGAGTCCAACAGGTCAGTCATGTTGGCGTCACTTGAGAACACCTAGGTCCAGCTAACTGTCTCCAAATTAATGACCCGATTACAGCAGAAACCAGAAACCATGTGGGTAAGGTACTTCTGCTGCTTTGGGGAGGGCATTCATGTCTCACTGATGGAAATGGATGGCTCTTACCTAAGAGGAGCTCTTCATTCAAATTGAATCAGTCATCTAGAATTGTATTATTCTCTTTGAGATTGCCAACTGAGAGTCCACAGCAGGACAGATCTCCACACTTAACACATGGAGAAGGGCTCACAGCATTGTTTCTGAGGAGACTTTTGCCATCAGAATAATCAGGTGTGTTATAGTCATATATTTTAAAAATCTGAAGCTAGCCTGCCACATCGCAAGCCCCTCTCAGGGAATCAAACTACACTAACAAACGCCCTTGCTGTTGGATTAGCACAGGAGCAGGCAATCTGAAGAACCATGTGTCAGTGTGAAGCTGCAGCTGTTTGCCAGCTTTCATTTCTACTTTTTGCAGATAGGTGCCACAATTCTTCCTGGTCTTGTATCAGTTTCAGTAACGGAAAGAGTTCTGCTTGTTCTGTACCCACAAGATGCTTAAAGTCATTAGGACTTCTCCATCTGAGTTTCTTCCAATTCAGTGTTGAGATGGATGGGTTTAGAAAGACTCCCTCCACAAGTGCTCTGCTCTTACCTTGGGCTCTGGGGAGATTAGTTAACAGGTAGGCAATGAAATCAGCTAGGGATTTGGACGGCACTTTTCATTCTTACAGATTTCAGCTAATTCAGGGAAAACCCAAAGGAACAGCAGCTCCAAGCCCACAACAGGGAATTCTCAGATCGAACACTCTTCATATTCGTACAAGGTGCCAGACCTACAGCAGGCCATTGGAAAGTAGTTCCTATGTGTGCCCCTCCCTTGTAAACAGATGGCAGACACTAAGGAAAACACAAATCTCTGCAGAAGAATCTTGCTGCAGATGATTTGCATGTTAGGGACTGCCAGTTTTTTTTGTGAGAGGTGTAGACTTGAGCCCAACTCCGTATAGTGATGTTCTGAGGAGAGGTAACTGGTGCTGTCCTGTACTTGCTGGTCCACTTTTGGAATTGATTTTTCTGATCTGTCAGTTCAAGCATAGTATTGAGTCTTTTTGTTTCCAAGGGAAATTTCTTTTCCTTTGAGTAACTGTAAGAGTTAACTTTTGAGTAACTGTGCTATCAAGTTGGGGGTTTGGTCAGTTAAAAGTCTAAAACCCTTAGGCCTTGAGTAAACTTTTTGCTTCACTGTGGGTGACACAGAGTGAGTAAGACAGCAGAGTATGGTGGCTCATGCCTTTAGTCCTAGTGCAGGCAGATAGATTTCTCGTCTTCTAGTTCAGCTGTGTGTACATAGCAAGTTCCAGGCCACCTGGGCCATATAGCAAGACTTGGTCTCAAAAAGGAAAAAAGGAATGAGTAAGGCATGGAACCTACACACAGTGAACTCCAGAACAGCAGGGATAGTGGGCATTTCTACTACTGAGCAGTGGTAGAAAGTGCAGTGTGCAAGCAGCTACAGGATTCGTGTCCAGGACTGTGGGGTCAAGCACAGGAACAAGACAGCAGCTGGTATGAGGAGCACTAAACTGGTCCCAGGTCCACCCTTAAAGTGGAGTTTGGTTGACGAATGTGTGAAACAAGGTTAAATTAAACAGCCCCTCAGCCACTGACTCATCGAGTCTTTTAATAAATGGTGAGTTTGCCTATTTGTTAACCTTTTTACTAGATTTTTTTTTTCTTCTCATAGCCAAAGGTCAGACCATGCAGCTTTTTTGTGTTCCTAATTCCAAGCACAGTGATTGACTATAATTGATGGACGAAAAGATGACTTTAAATCCCTTTTCAAACCAAAAATTCTCTTCTGTTGGTGCCTGGCTATTGGGATTATTATTAGAGGTCTTGTCCTCCTCACAACCCATTGACAAGTTTGCCAGCCTCTTCATTAGGGACCTCTTCCTCAGTTCCTTTCCAGATCTCTTGTAAACAGACAGTAGCCCAAGGCATCACTGAGGTTAGCAACAGCAGGATTCTTCCTACAGAGAGCAATAATTCAAAATCCTGCTAAGAACAAAAGTGGCCACATATAATATCTATTTCCTTAGTAGGGTGGTATGCCTTTTAATGTGACTACAGGAGGCCAAATGCACATCAGGTGGGCAGGAAGCTTAGAAAGACCTGGAAGAGCAAACATTGCAATGCCAGCAAGCACTGCTTGCATATTTCAGGTCTTGCCTATCTCAGTGAAGCAGAAAATAACCTCTAGTTTCTTCCAGCAGAGAATTCATTTTAGCTTCATAACACCAAAAGCAGACTGACAAGATGGCTTGGTGGGTAAAGGCCCTTAGCACCTACCAGTCCAAGCCTACAAGCCTGGCATCGATGCCCAGATAAAGGTGGAGAAAGAAAATCAACACCACAAAGTTGTCCTTTGATCTGCACACTGCTGCCCTCCCCCAAAAATAATGTTTTTTAAACCCATGTTCTTTCTATGGTTTCTTCCCCTCATATCGCCTTCTTATGAACTCTAGCTGCCTTCTGTTTGCCTTATCTCATTCATGTAACATTGACTAGAAAAATTCGACCTGCTGAGACTTGAATTTGGTGTTTGGGGCTTCTCCCACAGCCAATGACAGATCACATCACCAGCAAGTAGAGCACAGGCTGTACAGTCTCTGCTTGGGTGGTTCTCTACTTCCTGGGAAAAACCAGGCCCAGTTTACAGAAGTTGAAAGGCAATTGCCTTTAAAAGGCCCTTTTACAGTGCTCTGACTTCTTACTCCAATGTACTGGGAACTTGTTTTTATTCTATGGAATAGTCCCCTGGGGCGTCAAAGCACAAATGAGGACAGTGATCAGTGATTCACAGTGGCAAGCAGTTAACTGCACCTTGACCCCTATGCCAGATGCTGTTTGACCCTATACATGGACAGTTCCCCATCATCCATGAGTAAGCATTCAGTGTAGATTGGGAAACCAAGATACATGTACTTGAACAACTAGCCTTGAGTCATTGGGACAGAGCTGGAATTTGGATCTATGCATGTGACTCCAAAGCCTTGCCTGAACCCCACTATTCTCCTCCCTCCCTGCAAGCAGAGACCTGCCATGCACACAGAGGTCTGAAGGGCTGAGGACTTCCTGTCAGCTGTGTAGCTGAGCAGTCATGTGTGTTAGGCAGGAAAGGCACATTAGGATTCTGCCCTGCCTACAGTTTCCACATAGAAAAGAAAATGCACTAGGTACAAGCATGACTTCCATTGAGACAAATGGCTTCAATCCAGGGAACCCTGTGTCCACAAAAAACAAAACAAAAAACTGTTAATCCAGAGATCAGAGTTCTTAATTCATTTTTTCTTCCCATAGGATAAAAAGACCAAGTGGCATGAGCAGCCTTTTGGGGAAAATTGGAGCCAAAAAACAGAAAATGAGCACACTTGAGAAGTCCAAATTGGACTGGGAGAGCTTCAAGGAGGAAGAAGGGATTGGAGAGGAACTGGCTATCCATAATCGAGGGAAAGAAGGGTAAGGAATGGTTCTGTTCCTCTGTAGCCTCAGAACTCTGCAATGGTTTGTTTCAAACCATTCTGTTTTACAATCTGGAGCTTTTCACTGTGAAATGAAGATGGAATGCTTTGGTTACTAGTGAATCTCTCTGCTAAGATGAGGCAGACCCTGTCAGTGAGAGGCTGCTAGATGAAGATGGGAGGTAGGGGTGAGCAGCCATGTTCCCTGAGTTTGCTGAATTACAAGTTCAGTGAACTCTTAAGTCTCCTGGTATGACCATTTGCTACAGCCTGTATGATACATGCCAGGCCATTACTATACCATTTACTGCTCACTCTGGAATACAAAGAGAATATCCATAAACCAAAATGTCCTTTTCCTTATTAGTGTTTTTTGTTTGTTTGTTTGTTTTTTGTTTTTTGTTTGTTTATTTGTTTTTGTATTGTTTTCCCTGTGGGGGTGTTGAGAAAGGATCTTACTCTATAACTTAGTCTAGCCTCGCACTCATGGCAGTCCTTCTGCTTCCGTGCTCCAAGCTTCGGATCACAGGCAAGAGCTTCCGAGTGTGTTTTTTAGTGCTCGTTAAGTGCTTAGGAATTGCAAGAGAAACTTTTGGAACAAAGGTCCATAGCTTCAGGTCAGCATTCTTCACTCCACAGGTATTGAGTGGCCATTTATACAGTCAACTTCTCATCACCCTGCCCTTACCAATAACAGCTTCTCTCGCATGGCAGTTGTCTCAGCTCCTTTCCAGTAAAACTGGGGTAACCTTACACCTTCATTCTGGTTGTGTAGATCCTGACGTAAAGCAGAATGGACGTATTACTTACAGGGATGTAATATGTGTAAAGCAGCCTTCAGCAGCTCGGGAACTGAGGGGGAGCTGTGGAGTCAGCGGACTAATCACTCAATTTGACTTTTCTATCTGAGGCAGTAAAATTTAATCCTCTGGGGCCAGTGAACAGAGCCAAACTTAATCTGGGGCTGGCAAAAAAGGAAACCGCACACACACCTACCTACCTTCAGGATCTTTTTATCATTTCTCTCGCATCTCTTTATTTCTTTTCTTACCTCTATCCAGATGTGTCCCTTCTGTGTTTTTATTTTTTCCCTTACAGCGTATTTACCCCAGCAGAATCTTTCAAGCAATACAAAAATTACAATGTGAAGGGTTGGGGATTTAGCTCAGTGGTAGAGTGCTTGTCTTGCAAGTACAAGGCCCTGGGTTCAGTCCTCAGCTAGGGGGAGGGGGACCAAACAAACAAACAAAAAATATTCTTCTAGCTGGGCAGTGGTGGCACACGCCTTTAATCCTAATACTCAGGAGGCAGAGGCAGGCAGATCTCTTTGAATTTGAGGCCAGCCTGGTCTACAGAATGAGTTCCAGGACAGGCTCCAAAGCTATACAGAGAAACCCTGTCTTGGAAAAAAAAAAAAAAAAAAATTACAATGTGGTTACATTCTATTTTTTAAGTGAATGAGTATAGTAAATACAAGTTTAAAAAAAAGATGTTTCCCATTTCCCTTACATGACTAAATTTTACGTATTACAGGTAAAAAAAATTATTCTCCAGAATCCACATGCACTCATGTCTAAGCAACTTGTTATAGATTAACAGAGTGTAAACAAGCAAAGTATTTTCTCAGGTAATTCTTTTACTGGCAGGCTACATTTTGTGGTTACAGAGAAATGATCAATCACATTTTTACCCCAAAAGATAATCCTTTGAAAAATCTTAACAGAATCATAAATCTAAACTTTTATATATGAAAAGCAATTAGTCAGCTCTACTTTAAATCCTCACATTCATCAATAGTTTTTTATGTCAGAAAGCTGAGGGCAGAAATGAGTATAAGGAATTAATCGTCGTCTTTCATCATCAACCCATCCTAGCAAGAAAGGCATGTCAGACAGCAATAGCCAAGCTGCCATTGTTTCTGTTACCTGACCTCAGTGAGTCCTTCACTCAACTATTGAAAGTGTGCCCACCCCATATCCACCCACTACCCCACCCTTTTAACTTTAAATGTTTCCCCAAGATTTTCAACCTCAAAGCCATTAACAGAAACATATTAACCTAACCTTAAGTCATTTTTTAAAGCTTTGTTTTAGCTATGATGCACGCCAAATCCTGTGAACACATTTCCCAATATCAAAAAGAACTTGAGTTCACTCCTGGGATATGAATGTTTTCCTTAATCATTAACCTAAACCATAGTCAATATGGCTCCTCAAGAAAACTTGTAGGTCCTAGCTGCATGTTCTTATTTTCTATCCTCTCTAGCCCTTGCTTTATCACAAGCAGGGGTAACACTTTAAACAGTATAGCTTACAAGAAAATGATATTCATAATAATTCACAAGTGCCCAGTAGAACAGGATATTTCCATGAAGTAATCACACTACATTAAAGGCAGTGGAGCTCTCCCTATTTACACCATGCCAGATACCAGAGAAAAATGGCAATGGCAAACATGGGAAGGCTCAGCAGTAGCAAGAGACATTCCAGAGCTGAAGCCCTTGGGGCCTTGCCTATCCAGGATTCACCCATCAGCAGCTTGCGTTCTGGTGGGCCAGTCTCCTGAAGTTAGTTGCCACGTGCTGCTCCTCTGACATGACCACTCAACACATGAAGGCCTATATAAATGTGTTTTGTTCAGGTTATTAAATAGCCTAAATTTAATCCCAGTACTAGGGAAGCTGTGTGTCTTAATTAGGGTTTTTATTGCTGTGAAGAGACACAATGGGCACAGCAACTCTTATAAAGGAAAACCTTAATTGGGTTTTGAACCTTACAGTTCAGAAGTTTAGTCAGTTATCATAATGGCGGGCAGCATTGGGAGCACACAGGCAGACATGGTGCTAGAGAAGGATCTGAAAGTTCAACATCTTGATCCTTGAGTAGCATAAGGAACTGTGTGTCAGACTGGGTATAACTTGAACATGTATTAGACAAGTAGACCTTAGACAAGAACATTACCATCTGAAAGGTAGAATGGTTAAATTGGAAGGTACCACTTACTGTGATCTGTTCAGAGCAGGCTTTTATATTCATTCTCTGTAATTCATCAGTTTACTCTTAACTTTATTCCCAGCAGAAATGCAGGTGTGTGCTGACAATATGAGCAACATGCAAAAACAAGAAGTAACCCAAAGGTCTGTCACTAGTGTGACAGTTACATCAAATAAAACCTGTCAGTTTACACAGTTGGCTACTGTCCAGCAATGGGTATAAATGTAGATAAATCATAGAAGCATGGAAACATAATAGAAGGAAAGCTGTGGTTCTATTTAAATGAGGGTTAAAGTAGGCAAAACTGGTAGATTAGTTTGAAAGTAGCAAATCACAAAAGAATACACAGAGTAGAGTTCTATTTATGTCAGAATCAAAAATATCAATAGCAACAACTAGAGGTTAATGGAGATACAGAAAAAATGAAAGTAAGACTGGAGATGGATCCATGGTTTAAAGTAAATCTTGCCGTGCATGATGATGTATGCCTTTTTGTTGTTATTGTTGTTTTTCCAGGATAGGGTTTCTGTGTAGCTTTGGAGCATATCCTGGAACTTACTGTATAGACCACACTGGCCTCAAACTCAAGAGATCTGCATACCTCTGCCTCCCAAATGCTGGGATTAAAAATGTGCACAATCAAGCTGGGCAGGAGTGGCATGTGCCTTGTGCCTTTAATTCCTGTGCTCTGGAGACAGAAGCAGGCAGATCTTTGTGAGCCAGCCTGGTCTACAAAGGTACACAAAGAAATCCTGTCTCAGAAATTAAAAAAACAAAACAAAACACACACACACACACACCACCCACCATCACACACACACACACACACACACACACACACACCACCCACCACCACCACACACACACACCCCAGTCCTAGCACTCTCATTCAGTCTCTGCCTCCAGGTTCCTACTGTGGCTTCCCACAGAGAGCTAACAAGGACAGGCCCTAGTCCCAGTTTAGTCATCTGGAAGTGGAAACCTTTTCTGTGCCTCTTAAGGTGTTAGGACAATGAAGCAATTGGGCAGAGCACTGCCTTCCCTTGGGCTTCTCCCACTTGCCATTAACTGACCACCCCTAGACTCAGGCCTTACTGGAAAGCTGGAAGCTTTATCCATTTAAGTCTTAGCCAGCTACTTAGGAATATTTTCCACGATGATGGGATAGAACTTGGAGGCATCTCCCCAAATCTCCCAGGCTGGCTTTTCTGTCTTCCCAGCCCTTCAGCCTGGGAGTATGGACCCTGGGCAGCTGTTTTCTTCTTCCTTCTCAAGCAAACACTAGTTCTAAGACTTAGCCAACATTTTCTGCCAGTGACTCAAAACACAAGGGCCTTTCCTGTCACTTCTATCCATTTCTCCAGCTGCATGCTACAGCCCAGCATCAGTGCCCCTGCCTTTGGAGTGTACCTCCCCTATGAGGCTGTGCCTTGTCAGACAGTCTGGAATAGCTCTGCCACCTCAGTCACATCACCCTGTTTCTCTTCTGTACTGACTGACTGATGTTGTCAGATACCACACCACTTCATTGTCTAAATGTCTGATGGCACTGGCTAGCAGATAGCCCTGGCTTTGTTTAGTGCCCTAGTAGGATCAGAACTAACCACCCAGAAAAGTCCAGCATAGTACACCAAAATAGGTGTTTGTGTAGCAGCATCTTCAGTCAGCAGTGCTTGAGTACTGTCCCAGAGACAGTCTGGGTGTGAGTGGACTTCATTCAGGTATTGAGCACAGCTTCTCCTAACTCTACTAACTAATCACACATTCCTGATGGTGGATATTATCAACAACACAACTCTCCAAATAATAATTCTAAGGCAGGAGCCCCAGGTGGAGGGGAGAGAATCCATGTATAAAATGCACAGAGAGGAGAAACACGGGCTTGGTCTTGGCTGCTGCTCTCTGGCCGGTTAAGCTGAAGATCACAGAGCACAGTGATTGGAAACCAGCTGTTTGGTAGTTTGAAGAACATAAAGGAGTAGCTACTAAAATACTTTCCTGAAGA